TTTTTTTTTTTTTTCTTTAGAAGTGTATCGGGGCTCCCGGGTGGCTCAGTCAGTTGAGTGTCCGATTTGGGCTCAGGTCATGATCTCACGGCTCGTGGGTTCGAGCCCCACGTCGGGCTCTGTGCGGACAGCTCAGAGCCTGGAGCCTGCTTCGGATTCTGTATCTCCCTCTCTCTCTCTCACTCCCCCTCCCCTGCTCATGCTATCTCTGTCTCTCAAAAATAAATAAATATTAAAATATTTTTTTAAGTATAGGTGACTTTGTTTGCACGGTAATAATTAAAACAACATTTCATTAATGACAATACAGGAGACCTTCTAAAAAAGATAGACGTTTAAGACAAAGATCTCAGGTAAATGAAAAGTATGTTTGTAGAATTTAAAAATCACAGTGGGAGAGCTTCAGGCTTGAAAGGATGAATACTGGGTTTATTTATATGATGACTTTTTGTCCAAGTTTTTATCTGAATTCCAGTTAGTTAACAAACAGCGCAAGATCAGTTTCAGTGACGGTTTCAAGATCAGTGCTGAACACGGTGATTCATCGCTCATATACACCACCCAGGGCCCTTCACAGCAAGTGCCCTGCTTAATCCCCATCAGCCATTTAATATCATCCTTTCTTCTGATGATCAAAGTTACACATGCTCACTGTGGACAACTTGGACATTAAAGAAAAATTTACAATCAAGTAAGCAAATCACCGATAATCCCCTTACCCAAAGATATGCACTGTTAACCTTTCGAGAATTTCTTAGTGTGAGTTTGAGATGCATTTTCCAAGAGAACTGGGACTAAAGTAAACATTTAGTGTATACTTTGAGGAGCCATCATCCTAACAGTCAGCAGAGGTTAACATCTCAGTGATGGAGTCCGACAGTCTATTAGGCCCAACTCACCTTCCCCAGCAGGAGGCTTTACTCAGATAATGCCTTTACTCAAGGGTGTGCAAGCCTTGCAATAAACTGGGCTGTATTTCTTTGCTATCATTTCTGTGTAGGTATGTTTCAGGAACCCAGTTCTAAAAGGCTCCTTGAAGACAAGGACTCTCTCCTACTTCTGTCATCTCTCCCAGGGACTTAATATACAACTGCTTTCTGAAAAAGCAGGTCTCCTGCAGCTAGTGAACTGTTGACAGAATGGAGGAACAAACAAACAAAAGAATGAAGGAAGGAAAAAAAAAACAATCGAGTGGCACCCATGACACCAATTCTACTTGGGGGTTAGGAGAGGGAAATAATGTAATGCACCCCCGAGTCGCCTGGGTCAACATTATCAGCTTCACGGCCTTTGCAGAGACCAAACGGATCTTTACTTTAATTTATGCGATGTCCGTAATTTACTTTAAAATATGCGGCAGACGGGACGCATGGGTTGTTCAGTCGGTTGGGCGTCCGACTTTGGCTCGGGTTAGGAGCTCACGGTTCGTGAGTGCGAGCCCCGCGTCGGGCTCTGGGCTGACAGCTCAGAGCCTGGAGCCTGCTTCGGATTCTGAGTCTCCCCCTCTCATGCTCTGTCTCTCAGTAAAATAAAACATTAAAAAAAAAAGATGTTTAAAATATTCAGCATAAATATCAACACGAATGACAGTACGCTATCCAGGATACGTATATGTATACGTATCCAGGATACATATACGTATACGTATACGTATGCAGGATACGTATACTGGCGAGGATACGGAGCGAGTGGACCTCTTCAGACGCTGCTGGTGGGAATGGAAGATAGTTCAACCACCTCGGGAAACCGGTTGAGTAGTTTCCCATGAAATTGAACACACATCTCTCTTATGACCCAGATATTCCACTTATGGCGATTTACCGAAAAGAAAGAAAATCATGTCCACAAAAAGATGTGTACATGTATGTCCACGGCAGTAGCTTTAACCACAGTAGCTAAAATCTTGGCAACAAGGCAACAGGAGAGCGAATTAAGAGACTGTGGCGTAGTCCTGCAGTGCGCCGAGTTTAAAGAAAACCCTCACGTGGCCAGTGCAGCATGACGTACGTACGTGTTAGCTTACGCTACTACGCAGAGGCGCTCAGCCGTCTGAGTCAGGAATGCACACTCTAGGGGTGGGTGGCTAGCAATTCATCAAAAAGCCTCACCCCGGAGGTGGCCACTCCAAGTACTTCAGCTATATTTAGCTCCTATCATACCGGGGGACTCATTAATTATCCAAATTAACGCTAGATAGGTCTGCACTGGTGACGTTAGCGGTTTGCGAAACATGAGGACCGCTGGAAAAGGTTTCGAAACGCTGGCCGCCCTTCCATTATCGGGCTCTGAGAAGAATCTAGCAGGCTCTCCACCCAGAGAAAGGGTGCCCTAGGCTGGATTCCAAAAGGTCCACCTGCCGGTCACTGAATTGCTGGTGGCGCGAATTCCATCAGTCAACAGAAGCCGGATCACAATTACCCGGGGAGGGTGGCTTTCAAAGTACCACTTCCCGGGGCCCGGCTCCCAGATTTTCTCACTCTGTAGATCCGGGGAGGGACTGACAGTACGCATCCCTAACAACTTTCCAGGAGATTCTGACGCTGCTGGTCCCAGGACCACACTTGGAAACCCGCTGTGTCCGAGGGCTGTGGCCCGGCACGGTGAGGCTCTCTCGCCGAGCACGCAAAAAGGCAGGGCTGGGACTTCACGGTGCCTTTTGCATACGCTTTAGTGAGACTGGTTTCCGCCCCGTGGCTAAGCGATGTTCTTTTGTGACAGAGCCTGTTCGGAGACGTGCCTTCGTTATGAACTGGTAGGAAGGTCCTAGTTATCCAAAGCGTCATTCGAGGGTCAACGGCACGACCCGGAGCTTGTCAGAAAGGCAGAATCTTTGGCCCCACCCAGATCCACGAATCAGAATCAACACGTTGAACAAGATCCCCAGGTGATTACTCTAATTGTACATTTTAATGAAATCCACCATTGTTTGGTGTTGTTAAAGGTCAAGTATGTGTTGTCTTTTGTTTTTCCTTTCTCCAGTTCCACTCTGCGGACTTTTGGGAGGGTATTCGATGACAACTATGACCGATGAACCCAACAATTCACCCCTGGGATCTATCTGCGGGTCTCTTGTTTATGATGAACACCAGTAAAAAGTACTCAATGTATAAAAAGTGTCTAAACGCGTTCTCCCTCAAAGGCGATTGGTACAGATTCCCTCTCCTCCAAGTGAATTCACTTTTCTCTGCAAAGCTTGTTCTCTGCTCAGGACAACTTGATTCACCTAGGCCCCCCCTTCTGCCCTTCGTGATCTCTCTCTGCTTACCTTTTTGGGTGGTCTCAGCCAACTCACGTCTTGGGGCACTAAGCCACAAGACGCTCATTCCCGGCCTCCCCTCGACAAGGGTGTAACACCAGCAGCGTGATCACGCTTTCCCCACACGTGGCGGCACAGAGTTCCTTCACACGCGCGTGAACGAGCCTCTTTGGCTCTTGTGTAAAATAAGCCACATGGAAACACGGGGACGCCCTTCTTGTCAAGTACACACTACTCCTGTACAACCATCCCGTAGCACTTTCCAAGGAACAGGCCTCCAACTCCAAATTTCCTTTCATTCACTGACTTACACACAAGTGTGGGGCGTCGACTGCGTCGATCAAACGTCTGAGCAGAAGGCAGTGGCGAAACTTTCTCGTTTTTCTCTTCCTTCCTAAGCCTCCTGTCCGACTGCCCCTGGACTCATCGGCCTAGCCTACCATCTTCCTTCTTTCCTAAAACAACACATCCTTCTCCCACGACCAATTCTACCCCTTTGCTAATTTTCTTGGTTCCATTCAGAATTCAGAACAAACGATCTAAAGGAGGTCAGAAGCTTCAGCCATGTTTCACAGTTTATTTCAAGAACTGGCAAATTCCACCAGAAGCTACGTCCAAGCGGGAGAGGCAAGGGTGATCTGACTCGTTCAGGGTGCGGTTCACCACGGAATACTCTCTGAGACAGGCCCCTGGTACGTTCCTCCTCTAGCAGCTCTCTCAGCGTCCCCAAAGCAGTTCGAACTTTGTTCCCTTCCAAATCCTTCTGACTATGGCATTCTGCCACCAGTTTTCAAGGCACCGTAGTCCAACCTCACTGCGGTGCTCAGACAGTGATCTGGAAACATCCGAAGAAAGCAGCTACGGAAAATATCTAGGTTTCATCATAATGCAACAGAAGGCATACAAATGTTTATCTAGTAACCAGCACTGAACTACACCAGAGCTCTGGTGCCCTGAAAGCCCTACTCAAGAGAGATAACCATCTGTGTTGTTTGCGTCTGCCCGTGTTGCTAGGAATCTGCAGTACCACTCCCTCTGGCTTACAGCTGGAGGCGTTGAGTCTCCAGCCTTGGGAAGGCATGTAGGATGCACACAGAAACCTCAAGACGTGGGACAGCTGCGGACAACGCGACACGGTCCCGGGCTGAGGCTGGAACTGACCTGGTAGCTGAAATATGCACGCCCAATAAACCTAAACTCCCCCCCCCCC